TGTCTTACTGTCGCCTAGAGCGATGATTCCATTCTCGTCCAAACCTTTAAGTCACCCAAGATTTGAGCGATATAAGGTATTATGGTTATCCAATACGGCAGTTATTGAAGCGGTTATTTAACAACCTTATCACACCCCACGATCCAAAAATCCCAGTTGCAGACAGTTAATCGACAAAAGTAATGGCAACAGTTAGAGACGGTAGTTCCATGACAAGTCAGCCATCATGAAGAAAGTGGATAGTTATAGAGCACCAAATAGTTTTCAGATAGTTTTTTCACAAAGAAACTATCAAATGAGTATAAAAAGGAAAAGAAGACGTAGAAGAAAGGATCCCGAATCAAACACTCTCAATAGAGAATATGTAATTTCATTTTTTAGTTAATTTTAAAATGTCTCTTCTTAATAACTCGTGTGCTTGCGCTCCTTGGAGGCATTCTGTTTCTTTCCAATTGTAATCTTAATCAATAAAGCACCCATTTTGGAGCTTTGTTTCAGGAGGTTTGTTTCTTACATAATCGCCTAAACCTTTTTTAATTATTAGCGTTAACCCCCACGAAACAAAAGTATGGAACGATCTATGCCTGCAAGTATAAACATCTAAGCCGTAAAAAAAAAATGTAGTTATTAATTAGATTGTTAAAAAAAAAAAATTTATTCCCATTTATAGTGAACTTAAACCCTTGTTTGATCCCCATTATTTTCAAAATATATTTTTTTCCTCTTTTCAATCACACATTTTTCAATAAAATAATATACGCGCAAATTTAAAAATTTTTTTTATTTTTTAACCCCATATTTTCTATCAATCTACTATTTCAAAATGCATTCTTATCCAAAAATGGGACTCAAGATGATTTGTCCTTAGGATTAAATGCAAGCAAGCATCCAAAAAAAATCGAATGGACATTTTGGAACTTCTTTGTCAATGGAATGAGCTATTTTTTTTCGTATAATCACAGGTTTTTCATGAATGAATTGCATTTCAATAATCATTGAATCACAACAGAACTCAACCAAACAAAAAACAATTGTTAAGAACTTGATTTCACTTAACAATTGAAACATAAGAACATTTAAATAATAAGGAATCTTTATACATGTTATACATAAGTCCAATCGATTTTGGACATAAACATTTTTAATCTATAATTGATACATTTTATTTATGACAGATTTATTATTTAATTAAATTACTATTCTAATAAATTAAATAATAGAGTCTGTGTATTCAAGTTTTGGTAATTTGTTAAATAATGGATCTACATTTCATTGATCAGTTAAGTTGATAACGAAATTCTTGACCAAATTGTACTCATAATTTGAAAAACGTTTTCGATTTACATTAACTTAATAGTGGGTTGAAAGATATAATTGATAATCGAGATTGCCATATTTCATTTCCGTATTAATTGGATCATATTGACGAATGAGTTATAATTTCATATTAAACGAACACGTGACATTTTTCGTCACATGTGTTGTCCAACACATTACTAGAAGTCGATTTGGGATGACAAATATGAAATAATTAATTTAGGTAAATTAATGATAAATTTAAACGGTTTATCTTATTTTGATTAGATCAAAATAATAATTAACATCGTTAGGTATCCTGATCGAGAACTTAATTGGCCACACACAAAGGAAGAATGAAATATACTACTAATTAATGTATTATTCTTATCAATGTTTCTATCTAAATACAAAGCATATCCATGATGAGAATTGAAATTATTTTATTTTTGTTGTGTATGATTACGCGAATTCCCAATAATATCAACTCTAAGAGAACACAACAGTAAAATAAAGACTAAAAAAAGAGTAAGAAGAAATAATAAAACAAATCATCTAAAATTAACTAAAATAAATTAAAGAGAGGATGCGTAAAAAGAAGGAAAAAAAAGACAGACATAGACAAAGAAAAGAAAGGATGACCATCAGATATTAAAACCACCGAACCCAAAATTAAAATTTATCATATTTTTCCATTCTATAACATAATGATTATTATTGTTATTAGGTTAAAAGTCAAATTCTGAAAGTGAAAATTACCAACACTAATTCAATTGGAGAAATCCAAATAAATACAACTTAAATTTCAACTTTTCACCAATTAAAAAATTAGAAGATTACCAGAATTGTTGGTGAAGATTTGAATTGCATAGAGATAAGGAACAAAATATTGCACTAAAGTTTGGTCATCATCAAGAGGAATTGGAACTCCAGCCCCATAAACAACACTCCGTTCATCATAACTATTCCAGATATCACCCAATGTGAAATAGTCTAAATTTTCTCTTTCTTGTGAATGCCATAAACTACTCAAATTCACAATGTAGCCATGTTCACAAAATCATCAAATAACAAAAGGGACAAATAATCAACAATCATAAACACAATTTCATAAAATTAAGATCAATCCACAAAGCAAGCAAACGTGAGATAAAGTCGAATATTATTAAAGAAATAGAAAAGGAAAAGAGACAAACTTTAGCCAGCAAATATGCTGGAACAACTGGAGATGCACATTCCAAAAAAATTCAAGGTTTGTATGCATTTAAACCTGGTCAAAAATCAACATGGGGATAGATACAAAGCAAGAGAAGCTGTGACTTATTCATAATATACTATTAATGGCAAAATCTAATAATCTTAAATTCAAATATTCAAATCCCGAGGGGCGAGACCCAAATCGTCAAGTACTTCCATGCATCCCGAGACAGCCTCTTTGGTCATGAACCCAAGTGGGTTAGCATAACGAACAAGGCTGGTCATTCCACTATATTCAGTGCATTCAATTTTGGCCGTTTCTAGGCCTCCCATTGGCAAACTGCACTCAACTTCTGGGCTCTTGATTAGTGTCACTTGGCAAATGTCGTTCTCACGATTGCCTTGTACGTTCAGCTTGTAGTGTCAATTGCCGTCTGCTCGACTGAGTATGTTAGGTTCCTAGTTATCACGTTGGTGCATTCCAACTTCAAGGTCGCATCTGCAATTTTATGGCTGAGTTTGGTCTCGATCAGGACACGGCATAGATCGCAGTATACATTGCCTTCGACATCGAACACTTGGGGTGCGTGGCAGTGAGCCACGGTGGCAAAGGCCGTAATGCACAAAGCTGAGACGAGAGCAACAGCATTTGCTATTCTTTATTCTTTATATATATAATTTTATTTTATTTTGCTTCCCTCTCCTCTTGCTTTGTGTGGGAAAATGGAATGCACTGCAAAGGTTATATAGAAGAAGAGGGATTAGAGAGAAAATGGTGGAGCGATAATTTCCGGAATGGTTTATAGACTCCCCATACTTTGAGCGTGGAATCAATTTAAACCAAAAAGATTTTGAGTTGGGAATTTTATTTTATTTTTTATCTTTTTTTATATTTCAAACTTAAAGATTAACATATTTACGTATAAATATGTTAGAATTCAGGTGTTACCCGAATTCCTTGTTGAAGTAATTGAAGAATTCTAATTGAAGTGCACGTCATGAAGAATTCTAATTTGGAATATTATTAGAGTCATATGTCATGTTTAAGTTCTATTTTAGAAGTCCATTGGGAGTTGTAATTTGTTTCAGACTCAATTTTATGGTATCCTACTTCATCAATTGCTCTACTAGGTGGGTTTGAATATCCTCTACTTATACTTAACCAAATTTTTGGACACAAAGTCATTTTAATGTTTTATACTTAACCAAAATTTTCAATCTTTGAACCAAATTCCAACAAAAAATACTCTCTATAAATATAAATTCTCTTTAAAATTCTTTAACAATACTTTCTACGGAAATATAAATTACCTTAATCTCTTGAAATTGTCGATAAAACTTGTATACATATTCTGAATAAACAATAGGTACCCTTAATTTCTCGAAATTGTTGATAAAACTTGTATATATATTCTGAATAAACAACAATAGGTACCCTTTACATTTTCAATAATTTTAAAAGGAAAAAAAAAAAAGAAAAATTCACAACCCAGGTTTTATCTATCTCAAAATCAAAAATCAGACCCCAAGGTTTAGAATTGCAAAAATCAGGTTTTTCATAAATTAATTAATTATATTTTACAATTATTATATTAAATTAAATATTAAACTGTAATATAATACAATTAACACATCCTACCGCCACCTCTGCTCCGACGACTACTCCGGTGATCGGCGACCACTCCAGCAACTTTTTCGAGGTCACAGATCTAAGATTTTATAGATCGCACATTATTTCGAGTTCACAAATCAAAAAAATTATAGGTCACAAATTATTTTTTTAGTTATAAATTATCAATTTTAAGCTAGGTTACAAACACCAAAAAAAATCGCAATAGCTAGGTCATAGACACCAAAAAGAACCACCACCGCCGTTGACCCGCACGGCAATAACAAAAAACGACAACTACCACACGGATCACCATCACCAATCTGCGACATTTTCCAAAACCAAACCCCATCTTCGGGACGGCTGCCACCAGATCTACCGGCCACGACAAACAGTGGGTCACATACATACATCAACACCACCTCCACCCCATCACCGCCACCAGATCAACCGCACCCACAAACCTCCGCATCACCTCCACCACACACTCACAACTAGGCCACCGCACCAAAAAAAAAAAAAAAACCCAAAATACCACCGGTGTGCAGCAGCGCGTTGCTGCGACCTACTCATTGCTGGACTGCTCGTTGGGTCGCAGTAGCGACGCTCGCTGCTACAAATCACAGCAGCGTCGCAGTGATGCTACTGCGATTCGCAGCAGAGGGAGGGGGAGGGGACCGGAAGAAATGGAAGGGAGGAGGAGGAGGAGGGGAGGGGAAGAGAAGGATGGCAGGGAGGAGTAGGGTTTGGGAATTGGATTGAAATTGCGGGGTAGGTGTGGGTATATAGATTAATTTAATTTAAAATAAAAAAAAAAAAAAAAAAACCAGCTAAAACAAATCTATGCTGACACTGCATACATGGGCCTATCGTGCCAACATATCATCAAATTGTCCCTCTAGTTAATTATCTTGTAACCCTTTAGCCCATGGGCCTCGAAGACTAGTTGGGCCTCATCCATTGTTTCAGACCATAAGTGTACGGGCCTGAACCCGGCCTTTCCAAACCTCACCATCCATTTGGAATACCTTTCGTGCCTCTCTAGCCCTTCACCTGCCACAATATTGTCAATCTCGTCCCCCAAACATTTCTTCCACTGCCATTTGATCTGCGCACGCGAATTCTCCATAAGTAGCACTGATAAAATCAAACCAAGCACTATAATAATGTAGTGCTTCAACAAATCGATCTACTAGCCGATTGTGGTTGTGATCAGAATCTTGCTCGACCAGTAACACTACCATGGAGGACATTGATTTTACAATTGCTAAGAACGCATTCATTTTCTTAGAGTCCTTGACTGATATTTTTGTTAGACCCAAAATGCAAATTGACACAATCGTCCTCGGCTAATAAGACATGAAGACTTGATATTGATGTCAATGCTAGTGCTGCACCTGATTTTACCTTAAGCATGTCTAATGTGAGCTCTCTAAGACTAACATTTATAGGGTTAAATTGAAATGGCATGTCCAAACTTTCAGCCTCTTTCACAAGCCTAGCCCCTAACTTCTCTTGGGCTACCTTATTTTTTGACTAACATAAGTGATTTTTAAATGAGGCGTCCCATCGAAGACACGCCTTAAGCTCTGTATAGATAGAACCCACTTCTTCAGATCATTGCAACCCCAATCAATTACATGGATTATTCTTTCGTGAGACATGACTTGGATCGACATTTGTTTTGCTATCGCATAGGCAAAGTCCATGCAAGGGAACTGTTGAGGGAAGATGAACCGAGCCCGGTCAAGATTATTTCTTGTTGGCCCGCTATTGTTAAGGGCCATAGATAGACCAGACCACCGTTTAACAAGTCGGGCCGCCAAGGCAGAAGCACACCGGGCAGAATAGCCGTTGCATAGAGACATGCTGCAAAATCTGGCGGAGACAGGCGACAGCATGGTGGAGATCACCCGAGGAGGCATGAGCAGCACAAGATAGCGACAACTCGATCAATTTTACACCTCTTTCTACAGGCTTCATGCCCTCGCTAGGGATTGATGGCAAGCCTAGGGACAGGGTCACCTCTGGCTTCTTTGATAGATTTTAAGAATGTTTGGAGAAAATTAATTTGGCTACTTATGTGTGGAAGCCTAGGAGGAGCAGTTGAGATTATGGGATGCTAGCTTTTGCCTTTTGGAGTCAGTAAACACATCCAATAGTATACAACAAAATGCATGTGTTTTAAATTATTTTTCATGCAATTGCACTAATCATAATAATTATAATAAAGATTAATTATTAATTCAAATGGACAACCGATTAAATTTAGTCATGCATGATTAGATTTTCATTTTTTACGATGAATATCACAACTAGCAAGAGTACTCGATTTATTTCGTTACTCAAAGTAGAAAATAAGTAAATTGTTTATTTAGGGAATCACTCGTTCTTCTCAAAATAAATATATTTTTTTACGTATAAATGTTAAATATTATAAAATAACTTATATGTATAATCTACTTAGAATATTTGTCTCTTCTCAATTAAATTATATGCCGCTACCAGCCATATTTATTTGTCTTTTTAATATAAATCTTTCTAATATCCCTATTAGGAAAAAAACAGAGAAAATAACTAAATGCTAAAAGAATAGTCATCGCCGTATAAATTTCGTGCATAAAAACCAATCCTTAATATACCCTTCACTCGCTTAGGACAAAATAACAATTATTTTAGATTATTTTAAGGTAATTTACGAAGCTATCCAAGCGTTTTCTTCTTGATATCTCTTTCCTTCCCAATTTGGCCCATTTTTAAACATTACCAACCAGCAAGGATTTGATAAAAAACAATAATAAGAGTTGGACTCTAAGCCTAGGATGCCTTCACACACAAAATTATGTTTGGTTGGTATGCATTGACCTTCGAGTGAGTCGATGTCTTTCTTCTCTTAAAAGAACTTACAAGTATAAGAAGATTTACAAAATAAAAAGACCACTATCTAATAAATGAGTCACGATCGATTACACTACGATGATTAAGTTTTATCTCAAACACATGGTAACTATTGCCCCCAAACTATAGATCAAACCCACCAGACGAGAAACTAAATTCTGGACTACTGTTGAGTAGTCAAACCTATCCACCAAGGGATTAGTGCTACCATTTTTTATGAAGTGGAGGAAAGATCGAAATCCTATATTCCTATTCTTATTCCCAGAAATGGTAACTCATGAAATAAAGAATGATTCTCTCTACATTCAATATAAAAATAAAAACTTTCTTTTCTCATATTTGTATATCCCAAAGGAATAAATAGAGGATTCCAAAACTGGATTAGGAGGCAAATTCAAGCGTTGAGCGAGCGGGGCTTTCATTATGCAGTTCACTTTTGAAGTTATACTATGAGTTGGACGTCTAACACTCGTGTCAAAGTAGGGGACATTTTTCTCCCTAGAGCTCTAACTTACGTAGCTCACTTACTCAATTTTACTACAAAAAAGGAAATTAAATGACCATTTCTTGCATTACCATTAGCAGAGAGTTATTGAGAACTGAAAATTCAATATTTTCTCATGCTTCTTATGGGTTTGTGATACTTTTACTCAAATTTTGTTTTCTTTTAATGTACTTCCTCCGTCCCAATTATATAGGCTTGTTTTGTTCTTCACACGGATTAAGAAATATTCTTTAATGTCATTGGAAAATTAATTTTTGTCAAGACCTTTCTTAGTTTACTACTATTTAATTTTCAGTATGTAAAAATTTCCAAGAAGTGGGAAATGTGTATATTTAGATGATTTCAAGAAGTTTGCATATTATTAAGTGGGGAAAATTTAATAAGGGTATATTGGTAAAGCAACACAACAAAATATTCTACATTAGGAAGCATGCCTATATATTTGAGACAAGAGAAAAAGGAAACTCAGCTTATATAATTGGGACGGAAGGAGTATTTGTTACTTAGAAGATCAATTCACTTCATAGCAAAAAAGTTCTAGGTATAGTGGTGTCAATTAAGCCAGGCTAACCTAACTCCAGAGAGAACCGTGACTTAAATTTACCTGTCACATTTTCTATTCAGGCTCTCGAGCGTCCCAAGGTGCCCTGTACAAATATTTATAGTACATAAAAACTTCGAAAAAGAGATGGAATTAATTGCGCAAAATTCACACTAGCCTGTGAATGCAACCTTTACAGATATTTCCCTAAATTCTCACTACTATTTTCATGAAATAAATGGACATCACCGACTCTTTGATCTGGTTTTAGAACAATCTCTCTTCTTTGAAGAGAAGTGTAACTAAAAACTTGAATCTTGAACAAAGTACAATAGGAAACGGCAAAGCATTTGGAAGAAAATCTTATATTTACTGAGTCAAAACTCAAATGTCAGCATAAGAAATCAACACTTTTAAGCACGCGGTATTCACAGTGACTTTACATTTTCAGAATCTGATGTCTTCGTTTCCCTTTCTGTTCTTGGTTGGTTTCTCCTATGAGTAGAATTTTCAGAAAAGATCAAGTTTCGTCAAATGCCATCACCTAGAAAGCCAAGAACACAAAATAAGACAACGGGGTTTAACAAAATAGATAATTATGTATATAATTTCATTATTAATCTCCTGATACTCAGGTTAACAAAGATGGAAAGATAGCTTCAAAGAATTCATAAACACTTGTAAACCACATCTAGAGAAAAAAAAATTGCTAAGAAAGATTTTTCTCCATGAAAGGCTAATTAGAATTGCAGCCATACTAAGCTTGTGTGATAAGTGATTGTCTGATTACGAGGAAGGAATATCTGTCAACATTCTGTTTCCTCTTCTTCTGCCGATGAAAATTCTGCGAGTTCTATCAACAAAACAGAAGAGAAGATTCCGAGATTTTTAAGCAGACCCACCCTTTTGGTTATGCAGGTACTAAGATTCCTCTAACTGCCTACCGCAGACTAAAGTGAATATTCAAGTTCAATCCTTTTTATTTTTTTTTTATTTTTATTTATTTATTTATTTTATTTTTTTTGTGAAAATATCAAGTGGATGAATAAGGATATTGACAAAAGTCTTTCATTTGTCTGTAGCTAGTGATAGACAATTCCATCTAATATTTTATGAAGTTTCCATCTCAACTAGCCAGATTTTCAGAAGGCTTGCTGTAGTTAGATTCGTTGAAATTTATGTCAACTAGCATAATATTGCATTATAGATCTTCAAGTTGATATAAACACGACTTTGCGGTAAACGTTAAGCTTCAAATGTTACTAAGGAACGCCAAATTTCTTGCTCGTGTTCGGTTTCCCAGGACACAAGGAAGAGGTCATGGCGTCAAAGACTAATGGTGAGTATTAAAATTAAGGCCCGTCCAAGCCCAATACCCACCAGAGAATACTAGATGCGGGGGATATGGGCTGAGGAAAATTGATTAGGCAGCACTTTTCAAAGATCGTAGTTCACAAGACATTCGACTAATTCAGTAAGTGAATGTCTGGTATATAATACTCAACATTCTACTAATTCAGTAAATGCATATTTGGTAAACAGTAGCGAACGGGACGAGACAAGACAATAATGAGATATGAGCATTATAAATTAAAATAAGGTGCCAAGAGTATGGCAGGAAGGATCAGACATTACCTGGCCACAAACTGGACAACTATCACTTCTTTCCATCCATTCATATATACAACCGAGATGGTAATGGTGAAAACATTTTGTAATTATCTTGGGGTTTTCAGTAGTATATTCTGCAGGAAAAGAAGGCAACAAAGGTAAGAAAAATCAGAATCTGGGATATTCTAATCCATGAATTACACTTTGAAGCCGCAATTATCAAGTGAAGCCAATAGGTAAAGAAAGACTGGGCACAGGAGAGGAATTCAATTCCACCACTGGGTCGACGAAGAGATGAAGTGGATTCTAAATATGCAAGTCACTACAGTATATCAGACGGCAAATGAGAACCACCTTAAGGTTCTGTTAATAGTAATATAAAGATAGTATAAGACATTGCTACGATAGTTTCTAAAAGAAACTGCCGGAAAAACTAATTACATATCATTACCTTCGAGACATGTAGGGCAGACATCTTCATCTTCTGAAGAAGTGTAAATATGAGCATATCCTGTTGCTGTTTTAGCTGTTGAAGGCTTTACTGGCGATTTAGAATCATATTCTTCTGATCCTTCTTCACATTCAAACTCCTTCCATTTCTTTGCGTTACTCAAAGATTCAGAATCTTCATCTACTTCACTTCTTCTAAGCGGTATGGTCTCCTCGTGTGAATGAGTCGAGCCTTTCTCCCTTCTAGAGACCAGTCCGTCACGCTGCAAGAGAAAATATCTTGGATCTGCATCATAAGGCAGAGGTCTTGGAGGAGAGCGGTACATATCAGCTATAGAGTTATCAAGGGACGCAGAAGAACTTAAAGATGACGTCCCTTGAGTGGATGAAGGAATCATATTTTCTCCATCTCTATGAAACAGTGATGTATACTGCAGGACGAAACAATGAGTTATAATCAAATTTACATATCCCATTTATCCTCGTTCAAATAGTGTCACTAATGTTATGGATTAACCTTAATCTCTAACTCTGAGAACAAGAATAAAACGAGAAAGATAAAAGAACAAGAAAACACAGATTTATAGTGGTTCGCACTTTAATGTGAGAGTTGCGTCCACTCACCACTGTAGATTTTTCACTATAAAGAAATCAAGTTTTACAATGATAGATCTCACACATCTTTATTTTTTCCCCGTGCGGGCCCACCCTCTTATTCCTTTATCTACTGTAGGAACTTGGGCATCCTAAAAACAAATCTATGCCTAAAACAACATATAACATACATGTCCTATAGTGAACAAGTATGCAGAAAAGACAGTGTGCTGAATCAAAATTGAATCTTTGAATTAAAGTTGACCTAATATTAATAGACAAGAAATCATTTGAAGTATACCATATGTAAGAAGTTCTGAAGGAAGCATTGAAGGCATATACAGTTCCTATATATCGAGCTGTTTGGATTACCAAACTCTTCGCATTCATCCCTCAAACAGCAACAAAAAGACCCCATAATTACCAGCTTCAGTCAACTTTAATCCCACAAAACTCCTTTCCCCCCAAGTAGTCTCAATGATTCTCGAATTCAATCCCAGAAGCTTTGAAAGTTGTAACCTATGGAATCGAGATGGTTAAGGAGAGATAACAAAAAGCTCGCAGAATTTCAAGTAGCTTCCCGAACCAGCGCGTTCTCTCTTTATAACATAGCAAAATTCTTATAAGCTTAACTTAAATTTATATTTATCTGCGAAACAGAAAGAATAATATATTATCAGAAAGCTCGAAAATTAATTCCTGGATCAAATAAATATAAATTGCTAAAAATATGAAATCAAAACTAAAATCAATGTGTCTTTTTGTGGTGCTTGAGTGTGTATTTCATTAGAGAACTTCAATAGTGAAGAATGAGACTTTCTCCCAATAATCAAGCTGCAAAAACGATTATCGAGTAAAAATCCCAACAGCATATGATCGCAAAATCAAAAACTGAATACACAATTCGTGAAAATTTCCAATTTCTTTTAAAAGCAAGCAAGCAAGCAATAATCCGCTTATACGCATAAAAATCCATGAAGATTTTTTTTTCCCAAACAATCGCCAAAATTTTCAATTCATTAATCAAATATAGAAAAACCCATTACAGATTACAAGATTAAAACAACAATCAAAGCATATTAAAGAAAAAATTGAAAATTAATGGGTAATTATTTTTTTTTAAAAGTACCTAAGCTTATAAAAAGATAGACGATCCTGGAGAAACAGGAGCCGAGAAATCCGAGGTCAATGTTTCAGAGATTTTGTATCTATTTAGTTCTGTAACTTTTTCCCCAATATAAATAGTAGTATGTGAGAAGGCGACGAATTTTTTGGTTATTCTCCATTAATTAATATGTTTGTCATCCGAGAATTTATTGATTTATTAAAAGGTATCCCTAGAAAGAATTACTTTTCAATTCTTTTACTTTTAGATTAACAGTGCCATCGATTAAGATTTTGATAGATTTTAAAATATTATGAATTCTAATAAATTTCTTGAATTTGAATAAATTTCTTTAAATTCCCTAAGAATCTCATCAAATATGATGAAATTTCAAAATATTCGGTAATATTTATTTTTAAGCTTGAAATCTATTCAAATCTTTTAAAATTCATCTATTAATGAAAACTTTATAAATTCACTAATTATTGAAGATACTTAAATTTTGAAGGATTTCATTCAATTTCAGTAAAATCTGAATTGGGGACATATAAATTTTAATGTATTGAAATATATTAAAATCTCAGTTGAGGACACCTAAATTTAGAAAGATTTTGAAAATCCATCGCAATTTCAATTGAGAACCGCTCCAAGAATTTGGATTGCTAAATTTGAATATAACTAGAATTTGTTCTTTGGAATAACTTACCGAAAAGAAGAATTTCTTTCTAGTTTGAGAAAAATTTGCATATTATTATTGATAAAAATAAAATAAGTATGTGAACCAACCTTATTAATGTTGGATGATTGTGTTTGGCATAGCTCATTATCATCTTAACTGGTCATTTTGATTTATCTTTCGTGAAGTTATTAATGCTATTAAAATCGAATTGCACCAACAAGTTCAATAGGAAAAAAAAAATCAAAAGTGATGAATCATAGACCAAATATCGAAATTACATTTTTCTCTCATTCCTATATGCTTATAAACTAACTTAAACGTAGACTTTTTCATTGGGCTTAATATTCATGGCTTAATAGGAGAAAATTCCGACAAATTTGACCATATAAGATAGGGTAATTGGCACAAAACGTCCCTACATTTGCACATTTTTTTGTGCAAAAGGTCCCTACCTTTCGTTTTTTTGGCGTAAAACGTATCTACCTTTCACATTCTTTGCGCAAAACATCCTTTTGACCAATTTTTAACATAAAATGACTAATATATTCTCTTATATAAATAAAACAAAAAAAAAGAAAAATCAAGAATAAATATTAAAATTCATCTATTAATGAAATCTTTATAAATTCACTAATTATTGAAGATACTTAAATTTTGAAGGATTTCATTCAATTTCAGTGAAATCTGAATTGGGGACATATAAATTTTAATGTATTGAAATATATTAAAATCTCAGTTGAGGACACCTAAATTTAGAAAGATTTTGAAAATCCATCGCAATCTCAATCGAGAACCGCTCCAAGAATTTGGATTGCTAAATTTGAATATAACTAGAATTTGTTCTTTGGAATAATTTACCGAAAAGAAGAATTTCTTTCTAGTTTGAGAAAAATTTGAATATTATTATTGATAAAAATAAAAATAAGTAAGTGAACCTTCCTTATTAATGTTGGATGATTGTGTTTGGCATAGGTCATTATCATCTTAACTGGTCATTTTGATTTATCTTTCGTGAAGTTATTAATGTTATTAAAATCGAATTGCACCAACAAGTTCAATAGGGAAAAAAAATCAAAAGTGATGAATCATAGACCAAATATCGAAATTACTTTTTTCTCTCATTCCTATATGCTTATAAACTAACTTAAACGTAGACTTTTTCATTGGGCTTAATATTCATGACTTAATAGGAGAAAATTCCGACAAATTTGACCATATAAGATAGGGTAATTAGCACAAAACGTCCCTACATTTGCACATTTTTTTGTGCAAAAGGTCCCTACCTTTCGTTTTTTTGGCGTAAAACGTCTCTACCTTTCACATTCTTTGCGCAAAACATCCTTTTGACCAATTTTTAACATAAAATGACTAATATATTCTCTTATATAAATAAAACAAAAAAAGAAAAATCAAGAATAAATTGCAATCTTACTCCTAAACTTTCTAAAAAATGCAAATCAATCTAAAACTTATAAAAATATTAAAAAGAATGAAAACAAATCTCTCTTGCCCCTTTTCAGCCGAATACATGAGCTCATTTTTCGGCGACTTCCGGCCCCCAAACCATCGGGTATTGGTCCCAACATGTTCTCCTCATTACCCTCTACAACTACATATCAAGAAATCTCCATAACTCATTGTAATTTGGTCGAAAATCAAATTCAAAATTGTAGCCCGAAAATTGGTCAAACACCCACAACTCGTCGTCCAGCCACATAGCCGGCTGGAATCCACTGCTGGTCGACTCCCCTCATCAAGTCGAAGCTA